CCGCATGCGGCTCGCGAGCCACGGGTTGGCCACCCCTGGAGTAGTCAATGATACACAAGGGCAGGGTAAGACATAGGAGAAAAACTACTTGTGGTTCTGACCAGCCAAACAGCACCAACATCAATTTAAATCCGTGTTTGTTTTTGAAGGTACAGACTATGAGGAGTCTTGTGACCAGTGTTCCCTCCAAACAGTCAGTCAGCTCCATGCATGGAGCCTCTGACTGGGTGGAGCTGATTAATCACCTGTGAAGCTGTGCGGCCGCGCAGCTTAGAGGGAACACTGCCTGAGAAACCTTAGACTAACAGATTTATTAAGGCATAAGCTTCTGTGGGTAAAACCCACTTCATCAAATGAATTGGAATGGAAGTTATTTATACCAATGCTTTTATAACTTCCACCATTTTCTTCCTTATATACACATCTTTGCTTCTGTAACTTGCACTCTAATTCATCTGATGAAGTGGGTTTTACCCAGGAAAGCTCATGCCTTAATAAATCTGTTAATCCCTAATATGCCACAGGACTCCTCATTGTTTTTATTAATTTCAGTGACACTCTACAAGAAAAAGAAAGAATCATTAGAATATTTCTGAGAGGAGAATAGAAGTTAAGTTGTAGATGATGGACCCTTAAAATAGGTTTTGAGAATTAATCACCACACTTGCTTCTTCTTCTCTCTCTCACAATTTCATATTTTGCAAATGACATGTGCCCTTCTACTGACAGTAAGCCTTGCCTTCAGCATTTCACAGGCAAATCATTAAAAATTCAAGTCCCCATGAATGCATGGGGACAACAGGCTGGAGGACCAATGAAGAAGTGAAAAATGTTATAATAGTTTTATGAATACAGTACCTCCATACAATAAAATTAGCACATTTAAAGGCAACTGTGAAGTTTCTTAAAATATTTCCTTGGAAATGTAATTGAATCCAAGACCAATGAACTAGATATCTTATCTTTGTAAAACTCCTCAATAACAGTACAGACATAATTGACAGAGAAGTTCTAATTATTGTCTTTTGGCATTTAACATTACTGCTAGGCTACATTTCAAAAGCCTTCCATTAAAACTGTTTCTAGCCTGTGTTTTTGAAAAAAAATAGGTATCTTTCCAAAATAGCTGCTCTAATTAATTTTTCATACTGGCTCCTATGGCCAGTAAACATGAGCTGCTATGGAGTATCAGTTATAACAAGCAATATTTCTGAATATGCTTAAGAAATACTATCATTGCTACAATACCTCATTGACCTCATGCAGAAGAGATTCTTCCAAATGCTTTAATCGACACTTAGCTTCTTCTACAGCTTGTTCAGCTAGAAAACATAAGCAAAGCAATGACTCAAAGTATGCTCAGAGGCATTATAAAATACTGGAAAATACTCTACAGGAAAAGAGAACATTCACTGAGTAAACACCATGACAACCGGGTACTGTTAAATGTTTTAAATCTCAGATGAGGCATTTGTGAAGTGCTGCATATCCTCTGCTCTTACTGAAATCTGAGGGAATAAAGGGCACTTAGAGAATGACTGAGATGGTCAGTTTTGTAAAGTTGAAGGTGCTGTTTTTCTCTTCGATTTACAGTGTCCCTCCACATGCTTTCCTTATTGTCGTCTGGCTGCTCATATAATTAGTGGCTGGGCAATTTGCTTTGACTCCACACACTGGCATAACATTTTCCCCTTTACTTTCACATATATTATGAAGCATCTAGCAGGCTGCCACAACAATGAGAATGTTGCTTTTTCTGCTGAGATCTAACCTTTGACTTTATAAAAGCGTGTGCTAAAAAAAAAATCAACCTTAATAAATTAGACCTAATCTCATAGTCGAGCCATGGCCTTAGATTCTAAGGCTGGAAGAGACTATTCTGATCATCTAGACCAATGTTTCTCAACCTTTTTTTTATAAAGCATCCCTACCCCCCCCTCCCCAAAATTGTAAGTGCTCCTAGTACCTACAGTTCTCAGACACGCACAATTTTTTTCTACCACTGCAACACGTTTGTTTAAACCACTTAATCACAGCCGGGTGGGTAATGAAATTTTTGGGTGTAAAAAGTACAAAAATAATAAAGCGCTGTAAAACTTAAAACAAAAATTCAGTTTTCTCCAAATTTCAGTTGTGTTGATGTACCCCCCCCCCCAGACTTCTTGAGTACCCCTAAAGACACTCATTCCACTGATTGGAAATTGCTTATCTAGACTGACCTCCTGAATAACAGAGGCCAGCAAACTTCACAAAATAATTTCTAGTGTAGATCTGCAAGGAAAAAAAATATCCAATCTTGATTTAAAAATTCTCAGTGATGGGGAATCCACTAGGAGTCTTGGTAAATGGTTGCGAAGGTTAATTGCACTCACTGATAAAAATGTATACCTTATTTCCATACTGAATTTGCAGCTGCCAGATTGTGTTACACCTTTCGCTGCTAGACTGAAGAACCCATTATTACATGTGCTCCCCTTTTATGTACTTATAGACTGTAATCCACTCACTTTTCAACCATTTATTTGTTAAGCTAAAATTGAGCTCTTCGAGTCTATCACCGTCCATAATGTATATTATATAATCCTTTAATCATTCTCATAGCTCGACTCTAAAACCTCTCCAACTTATCAACATCCTTCCTAAATTGTGGGCATTAGAACTGAAAACAGTTTTCCAACAGTTGTGGCACCAGTACCAAACACAGAGGTAAAATAACCTCTGTGCTCCTCCTTATGATACTCCTCTTTCTCCCAGGATTGCATTAGCCCTTTTAGCCATAGTGCTGCACTGGGAGCTCATGTTCAGATAAATATCCCTCATGACTCCAAAAATCTTTTTCAGAGTCCCTGGTTCCCAGGATTGAGTCTCCCCACCATCTCAGGATGACCTTGGCTTTTGGAGGAAAATCACTACAGTAAAACTCCAATAGTTCGGCATCCAATAGTCCGGCACTCCTGATAGTCCGGCATCAAAATGGCAAGAGCCTAGTGAGTGAGCTTCGGCAAAAAAGGAGTCACAAGGCAACAGCGGCAGCAGCTAAATTGAGCAAAAAGTGTAAAAAACGCTTTAAAAAACTAAAACATTACAGTATACTGTATACAGTATGTACAATAAAAAGGGTTAAGAACACTTTATATACAGTATATAATGTATACAGTATATATATAACCAGTTTATAGTACCTCCTGATAGTCCGGCATATCTGATAATCCGGCACCACCTAGGTCCCATAGGTTCCGGATTATCGGAAGTCTACTGTACTTCTCTTTTAAAATCTTGCTTTCTTGAATTAAAGCTCCCCATTCTATCTTGCAAGGGAATTTGTGACTATGCTTTTTCCTGTTTTATACTTTAACAGGAACAGAGCACTTGTGGGATTCTTGTGATTATATAAAAAATATGAAGTGCTACAAAAGTGTTACTGATTTCCATTTACCAAAACATTTTACTAATAGCACAATTAAACCACAATTTTGAAGTAAAAAGCAAAGTTACAGTACAATAAAAGTGGCCAATTCAGGACTGGCATACCCATTTTCATATCCACTTCTGCCTTCTTTATTTCTTTCCTTGCAATGCCTTTAAATGATGACATGATATATGGATACATTCTGTTAAGAGAGAATGGTAAAATCATTATGAGCTGCATTTTCAGCACACATCAGAGCAGTCACAGGAGCAAACAAATGGGCTGGAGAGTGGGTTCTGACACCCTGTGAGGTGGGAGTTTCCCAGAACTCAGTCTGTAGGCTGAGCCTGGAAGTCTGCACTGCAATTAAAAAGCCCTGTGGTCCAAACCCCACAGGGCCGAGTCCATAAGCACATGAAGTAGAGGTGTGTGTGTGTGGGAAGGGGTGCCGCAGTATCCCCCAGTTTTCCAACCGGCTTCTCTACACCCAGGGGGCAGCCCCTCCAAAGTCCCATTGACCCCAGGTCCTGGACTCCTGGTGGGTTCCTCCACTGTCCTGCTAACCCCACCAGTTACAGCACCCTTTGGGGTCCTGCTGCTTGCTGTTCTCACAGGCTCTGCAGCCTGCTGTCGATAGGGTCCAGGACACCAGCTCTGGAAAATGCACTACTGTTTCAGGTCCTGCTATCAGCTCAGGACTCCGCTGCTACTTCCAGCTGTGGGAGTAGACTGCCATTACTAGCAATAGCGTCTGGTCCCTCCCATCTGGTAACTCTAGGTGTGACCCCAGCCTGGGGTGGTGAGGGATGCAAAACGGTTTTAGGGAGGGCCCAGCCCGGCTGAGGAATCCCACTCTAAAAGGCCCAGCTGAGGAATCCCACTCTAAAAATAGTTCCAGAGCCACTTGCCAAGTCAGCTGGCATGGACGAGTAGAGGGTTTTTAATTGCAACGTAGAAATGCCCTGAATCCTTAAGCACACTGGCACTGGGTACATTATCTCTCATTAGACCTAATCACCTCACTAAACCAAACACTGACGCTATGGTATTTATCCAAAAGGTACTGTGTAAGCTATCGTATGAAAGCTAATAACACACTGTTCATTATCATTATAAAATGCATGTGTTATTATATGTGAAGTTACGAATTCCCTCTGTCTGATGTTACCAGAACCTGTTTAAAACCAGACAGGTGCACAACATGTTTGTCCTGGACAAAGGAATGTGGATTTCCCTCCGTTTACATATTAGGAATAAACCAAGACATCCTGCATCAGCTCTGGACACAGGCTTTGTCTACATTATAAACCTTTTGGTGACAAGGCTGTGTCAGCACAGCTTTGTTGCTAAAAGTCAGGCAGCATAGCTGCTGTATGTCAACTCTTTTGCCTACAAAATACTTTTACCCCTATGAGCAGCGGGTGCAAGTGTTCGAGCTGACTAAAAGCTGTTCACAACCCACACTACATCCACACTTTTCTCAGCAAAACTAGTGTCTTTCAGGGAGAAGATAGCTCCTCTGAATGACAAAAGTTTTGGCATCCAATTGCCTGTGTAGATGCAGCCACAGAGAAAGCACATGACCCCTGCACCACAGTGACACAGGAGACTGAATCCAGAGGAGACATTCTTCCCTGGCAAAACAAAGAAAATTCCTTTGGGGATAAAAGGAATGGAAAGAGACTCCATTTTAGGAGACAAAGAAACCAAACAATCTGATCTCTCTGGTGGATCCCAGGCAGTAAAATCTGGAAAGGCGACTGTGGGTGAAAGGAACCATGTGGAACGTCTGTATCTTTTAAAAGTTTAGCTTTTAGATGTGTATTTTTACTTTTATTTGCTTGTAACCATCTCTACCTTTATCCTTTTTACTGGGTAATACTTAATCCATGTTCTTTTGTTGCTAAACTCATTTTACTTCCATTAAAAATCATCAGAGCTGAGTATGTTCAGTGAAGCGTGTGCTAGAAAGCTGACCAATTGGATTATTTCACTGTCTCTTAACAGGCAGCAAACTTAGCACTTTCTCTGTGAGAGGCAAGTGAAAAGAACTGGTCCCTGCAGTAAGGTGACTGCAGGAGGCCGGACAGATACTAAAGTCAGTCTGCAAAGAGTAATCAGGCTGGACAAAGACAGCATGAGGCTTGTGGACTGCTGGCAGCTGTTGGCATCAGAGCTCTGGACAAAATTCTATAACCACAAGATATCCAGATTTACAAAACAACCCCTTGCTGGCCTGGGTGAATTACAACATGTCAGTTTAACACATACCAACACAACTATATCAACCCTTTGGAGCACCTGACTGCTCCCCTTACTCGTGCACCTATCACTCAAGCCAAATGCACTAAATGAACCAGCAGAATTTGACATTACCTGCTTAATATCATTTATAAAAGGAATTTGTACTTCAAGTAACAAGTATGCAATTCTATATATAAAGCAGCAGATTTTAAAAAGTCAGGGGACAACTTTCATAACAGTATAATATTTAACGTCAATTACTTTTTACACACTGCCACCTGTTTACATGCATGTTTTTATTATTGTCAGCACAATAACTTTAATGACTCTAATTTCAAATTAAAGAATGGCCTATAACCAAAAGTGGACACATTTGTAAACATAATGGTCACTATGCAGATTTATGTTTTAATACCTTGCTGTCCTTTTGATTGCTGCCAAACTGCTCAGTGGAGGAAACTAAGATGGAAAAAGATGTCTTTATGACAACTTTGCATGTAAGAGATTGAACTGGAGTGGTTTTGTATTTAAAAAAATCAGCAATATTGTGATCTCAAGAATTAGTTTGATGTTTGGAAAAACTACTAATTGCTAGAACAGGAAGCTTTTTTTTACAGATAAACCTGAAATGGGAAAGGGTCCTGAGACATCAAGAATGATCTAACATGCTGGGATATAGTCATATGATGCTGTAAACATCTGAAAAGTGAATTAGTCTCATTACTAGGACCTGATGTACATTTACAATTTAGGCTGACATAACTCAGAATGTGACAATCCACTCTATGCTGTCCTAGCCCTTCCCAACCAGTGCAAATACAGCTAGGTTGATGGAAGGATGCTTCTGTCAACCTAATTACTGTTCTTCAGGGAGATGAGTAATCTTTAGCAATGGAAAAATTCTCTGGAGTACTGTAGAAAGTGTCTATGCTATGGTGTTGCTGCACCATATCCATGTCACTGCAGTGCCCATAGTGTAGACAGGTCTGTGGTTCCCTTTAACTAATGATTCAGAAGAGTGTATACACTGTATATTATCAATTTATTCTGTTTAAACAACATGAAGTATAAGCTATCTATAAACATGGAAATGAGTAACTGTCAGTGGATCTGTTATAATATGGAACTACAAAAACAACTGGAGGAAAGATTTCATGAATATCTAATTATTTTGAAGACTCTGATCTAAACAGTAAGCATTTAAATAAAAATCTAGCTATGCAAAGAAAAGTAGTAAATTGAGTGAAGTTTCACTTGAACATTTCTTCTGGTACCAAGTTTGAAGTTAAGTAGTCATGTATTTTGGAACTGAACTGAGATTTGTGGATGAAAATACTGTTTAAAAATAAGACTGACCAAGGACTTGAGATTTCTATGAAACTACCTTGCAAAAACAATGAGAAATTTCCAAACTGTAAATAATAAATAATAATAATAATTAGGTAAGTTACTTGTCACTTAATGTTGCACTGGTAAATTTAACATAGTATTGTAGTTGATGTTTCTCCTATCATTTATATACAAGCTGTGGCTCGGAGTCCTTGAATTAATCTGCTTAGCCCTTTTATTATTGTTTCAAGAGGTTCATGAACATTTGCCAGACCAGCCTTAAAGTCTTTTGGCCATCCTTTCACATGTATGATAATGATAAACCATAATGATACAGTAAACAGGAAGACATTTAAAGCTACTAGAGAGATAGTCAGCTTCCAATATCTTGCAGTATAAATATGTGTTAACATTAGCTTTAAAAAATAAAAAATAAAGGATGTCTCACTTCCAAATGAGACAATTATTAATCAACGTGTTTTAAGAGATACAGTGGGTGAGGTAATATTTGTTATTGGACCAACTTCTGCTAGGGAGAGACAAGCTTTTGAGCGACAGAGTTCTTTGGGTCATTTTGTCTGCTATGCTTCTTTCTTTTAGTTCTTGTACAAGGGAAAATTAGTCAGATGTTATAGCTCCATCTACTGAACCAAAGAGGAAGAAAAAAATCACAGGGGGACCTAACTGCAATGTAATTATCCCCCATAACTAATTTCATAATTAAAAAAAGCAGAAAGTCTGTGTGGATTGAGGAAAGAGCAACAGAAAATATTGTTACATAATTGTTTTTCTCAACTCTCAGTCTCCTATACAGGAACATCTCACTCTCCTACACAGGAACATGCAGAAGTACTATTAAATGTACCAACCAGTATTAAAAGTAGTAGTGAATTTACCATACCTAAAATAGCAACCTGTAGGTGCCTATGTGACAGAATTATAAATGAATACAGATACATTTATGAAAATTTGAACTCTAATAGAGAGAGATTGTCATGTAGACTGTAAGCCAA